TTAAACCACAGGCAACAACGGGACGAGCAGGTCCCGTAACCCCATCGGCTGAACACACATCCAGATGTAGTTAATATTTCCGATCGCAGCCGACAGAACATACCATTATGGCCGCAGATCCAGTGCGTGACCGATCTCATTAAATGTTGGCTGAAATTCTCAAATGCCTTTTCGATTAGGAAGGATTACTTGGTCGCGGTTGTAATACTGATTATCTTGCGGCATACTCTTATAACATTCCGGACTCGGCAGGATGTCGGCTTTTAAATGCACTTCTTTTCGATCTCTTGTAAAAAGCGTACTCGGTAAAAAAACGACTACTTAACTAGCATGCATTTTTCCCTACTGGTTTTCGAGGGTCTTGGAAATTCAAATATATTTTATAGAAACCATGAATAAAAATATGCTTTCTTTTAGTCAATCAATAGAGAATCACGTCTTTTTATATTTTATACTTAAGGAAGGAGTATGATTAGGTTTTAAAAATTTCTAATTATGAGACTTTTTAAGACCACGATATGTCCATTCACATAGCATCGTACCTGGTCGTTTACCACTGCTCCTCATGAAATGTACAAAATGGACCGCATCCATTGTAAAATTTTATGGACTCTTTATGATATCTTTTAAATGGCATAGAAAAATATGTGACTTTCTTTACGCGGAATGCAGGCACCTTGTAGAGTAAAATCACCAAGCGCTAATGCAGCGAATGATCAGGCTCCAAATTATTCGGCAATTAGAAAACTTTTTTAAAACCTAATTATACTCCTTCCTTAAGTACAAAATATAAAGAAGACGTGCTTCTCTATTAATTGACTAAAAGAAAGCTTATTTTTGTTTATGGTTTCTATAAGATATATTTGAATTTCCAAGACCATCGAAAATCAATGGTAAAAATACATGCTAGTTAAGTAGTCATTTTTTACCGAGCACGCTTTTTACAGGAGATTAAAAAGAAGTACATGTAAAAGCCGACATCCTGCCGAGTCCGAAATATTATAAGAGTATGCCGCAAGATAGTCAGTATTACAACCGCGCCTAAGTAATCCTTCCTAATCGAAAACGCATTTCAGAATTTCAGCCAACATTTCATGAGATCGGTCACTCACTGTAGTTCCGATCGCAGCCGACAGGACATATCATTATGGCCGCAGGTCCAGTGCGTGACCGATCTCAGTAAATGTTGGCTGAAATTCTGAAATGCGTTTTCGATTATGGGCACCGTTGCAATATTGATGATCAATCCTATGATGTTCCATACTCGCCAGGATGTCGGCTTTTGAATGCACTTCTTTCTGATCTCTTGCAGAAACTAAACTCGGCAAGAACTGACTACTTAAGTAACATGCATTTTCCCATTGTAATTTCAAATGTTATAGAAAAGATGCACAAAAATATGCTTTCCTTTACTCCTGTGATAGAAAATCACATTGTCTTGATATTGTGCAACCGAAAAAATGCACATTTAGGTTTTAAGAGGGTTTTCCAATTTCCGAATAATTTTGAGCCTGATCTGTCATTGCATTAGAATTTGGCGATTTCAGTTTACAAGGTGCACACTTTCCGAGTAAGGAAAATCCTATATTCCTCTACGCCTTCTAGAAGGTACCACGTAGAGTTCCTAAAATTTCTCAATCGATCCGGACTGTGTTGTGCATTTTAGTAGGAGCATTGGTTAACGGATATATGCGGTCCTGCATGCATGTACATCGCACGGTCTTAAAAATCTCATAATTATAAGCTTTTTTAAAACCTAAATATACACTTTCTTCGGGTATAAACTATCAAGATAATGTAATTTTCTGCCAGAGGAGTAAAAGAAGGCATATTTTGTGCATGTTTATATAAAATGTATTTGAATTTATAAGACCACCGAAAATCAATGTTGAAAAATGTATGCTACTTAAGTAGTCATTTTTACCTACTATTCGAATTTAGAAGACCATCGAAAATCAATAGGAAAAATGAATGCTACCTAAGTAGTCATTTTTTACAAAGTGCAGTTTCTGCAGGTCAAAAAGGAGTGCATCCAAAAGCCGACATCCCGGTGAGTCCGAGATGCTACAGGCTTATGCTGCATACTTATCATTATTATAACCCCGCATAAGTACTCCTTCCCAATCGAAAACGCATTTCAGAATTTGGGCCAACATTTCATGAGATCAGTCACGCACTGTATGTGCTCGGAGCATATTCGGCGGGCGCGCTCATTTAGTCCAAATAAGTTATTTGTTTTAATCCAACTACGAAAAAAACACGGCGACCTCGGTGGGACTCCAACCCACGACCGCAAGGAGGAGGCTGCGATACGGTCAACGCTCTGGCCTCGTTAACTGGTAGACAAAGGTCCGGTAAAAACACTTTCTGCGGTTAGTTAGATTTAGTGGCTTCCGCTGAAGGGTTTTCAACAGGCATATGCAAAATCGTAACGAGAGATAAGGCCGTCAGGGATCCACATGTCGGCTAACGCGTTTGCACGCTGAAAACGTCTCAGAAACAGCCAGCGGGCTTTTCGTGCCCAATGAAAAGGGGACAACCATCCGGGGCCACATGGCAAGGTCACTGTCGTGTTAAAAACATCTCGGATCCTTCATCTGATATGAAGCAACCCGTGCGAAAGATAGGTGCCAGGTCCGAGTTGGACAGACCCCTCACATCCTGCCTCACCCCATCCCAATCACGTGTCACAGGGGAACCCGAGTCAAGCCGACTAGAGCTGAGATCGGGCACAGCGACTGACGTGGCATTCAGCCTCCGTTCAACGTGAGTAACACAACTGATAGGCCCACTTTTCGGTCTAACACCAAAAAGAACCTCTCCGTGGGTTCCCAAGCCTGATGTCAGAATAGGCAGTCAACGCACAGAATGGATGCGGGCGAATGCATCATGGCAACTTATTCACAAACACTGACTGCGACAGGACCTTCAAGTCGCAATTCCCGATTTCAAGGAACTGCATTTCCCCCCTAGAGGAGCTTGAAAGAAATCAGAAACGCCATTCTCTTTTTCCATCTCTCCCCCCGATGACGTTCATCCCCAGGCAGAAAGTAGGGATCCAGAAGAAAGACTTACCCCTGGGCACGATGATGTCAGCAATGGACATTGTGGGTGCAATGTACTGGTCGTAAGCGGGTTTAACACCGGAGTTGTACTGCAGAAGGATGTCAGGAACAGTGCGACCACGAAAGCACGTGTCTCGCAGAAGACGTCGGGAGAGACGCTCATCTGAGTCCGTGTCCACAAAAACCTTCAGGTCCATCAGCTAGTTAGATGGAAGGGGGAAGAGCCGATATACGACTATTTTTTGGTTTATAGGCGCAAACTACACAATTCACAGAGTTGTCGAAATGAAAGAAAATTGCTTCGTAGTCAGTCGGGAGGAGGGAGGGGGGTGAAATCGCCCCCCCCACTAAAAGATAACCCCAAGCAATAACTAACAGTGCTTAACTTGAGTACGGTCCCTGAGAAGGCAGTTAGTTTTCAGGATCGAAAATAATGTAATGCATGAAAAAGACATCCTGTTCTACTCAGAAATGCGCAATGAAATAGGCAAGTAGTTGGAAAGGCTGTCACCAGGCTGAAGGATGGGCGTTGTGGTAGGTAGAAACGAATTTTGATATGCCAAATATCCCCCGGAGCGTTCTTATTAGAGATAAATAATACATTCTTAAGTAGAAATTGGCACGTTTCTTTGCTTATTATGTGATTGGCTACTCAGTGGCTGTGTGTAAGTGCAGGCATTTCAAGGAGCAGGCATCAATGTAAACGGCGAAAGCACACAGAAGACTCCAGGGTCTTCTTCAGACAGATGTCTAAACAGGAGAAAACTCTCGATACGCAACCAGATGACATTAAAGCACGAAGAACTTCTGTAGGAGAAACAGTGCGACCTGTCGCAACACAAAGCACTGAAGCTAAACAGGCCCTTGAACAACGGTCGCATTCTCCTCCTCCACCACCACCTCCTCCAATCCACCGTAAACGGTTTCCAAACAGGGTACCCATGTCGTAAAGATGTTGAATGAGCGTCTCGCAAAGCGCAGAGTCACCCTTAGAACTTCAGTCAAGGGCTTCAGGGTCAGTTAGGCTACGCCAGTGAGCGGCGGACACGCGGAACTGTCATGAAGAATAAAACCGCGCCCTCAGAGCCGGCTGCATGCAGAAGTTCAAAGATAATGGTAGGAGGGCGCTCACCGATCGTTCTTGCGGAAGTCACTCGTTTCGTTGTGCCTTGCGGGCTCTATCTCGTGCCCAACCAGCAGCCGCACAGCGGTGCATGATAAAGGTAGTACGTTATTACTGACAATGACAAAGGAGACTGGAATGGCCAGAGAGAAAGAGAGACAGGGCCCATAAGGCGCTACGGAACGAGTGAGTTTCGTAATAACGGTCGGTGAGTGCCCCCTACCATTGTATATTCCCGATCGAAACCGATAGGGACACGGGCACGTGGCCCAGTGGTTTGAGACGTGGACTTCTAACTAACAGGTCGCGAACTCGAGTCTCGGGTGTTCCACACTTCGGGCTTGGGTATGACTGGCTGACGAGGGCTAATAAGCCAGAAACGGCCGTTCCAGTCTCCCTTGTCTTTGTCGGTAATAACGCAGTTCAAAGATATACGACAATAACACGCAGGAAAAACACTGGTAATGCTAAATCCCCTTCCGCGTACCATCATCGATAATGTGCATTCGGGGCTTACAGTGGTCATGTGGGGGGAGGGGGGGACCTCCGACTGCATTGAAGCAACAACAAGACCTCCGCTACGTCGAGGGGCATTGCTCACCACAGTCCAACCCCAGAATCAAGAAAACAGAAGTCAGCCACTCCGACTCGTTCATCCCTGTGGTGTCTGCGGTCTGACTGTGAAATACAACGAATGGAACATTCGGTGTAGCAGCTGAACACTGTTCCCAAATATCGCCCGCCTTCCTCCGTCATATACTACAACGCCACATCTGGAGTTGTCCAGCGTGTTGGATGTCCAGCCAAACTACGTGCCCTCAACGGGATTATTTTGTGCCCAACGGCAACATTGGTAATAACTGGCCAGTCGTCGGACACCTTCCCATACAACCGCCCCAAAGCCCTGCTCCCAACTAACAGATATAAGTTTTGTGATAACAGTCACCGGTGTTTGCGACGGGCGAACTATTACGGCCAACTGGCTGTGATTTGTAGGCTATTCCAGTCGTGTGCGCCTTTGCGCATTAAACCTTACTTGTCAGATTTAAGCTCAGTAATGTAGGTGGGAAGTGTGCTTCTTGGCTCCTCCATGAGGCTCCACGGCTGCATGTGTGATCCGAGCCTGAGACTATCACGGTGCGCCAATTGCCGAGGCATGAACGGCTGCCCCAACTCAGTCCACTTAGTTATGTGTGCGTGTCTGTGTGGAGTGGCGGACTGGTGGGCTGAGAGACAGGTTGTCACGGCACCGTCCTAACTGTTCTGTGACACTCACGCATGTGGGGAGTGTGTGTGTACTTTAATGGTAGTGCCTCTCCATCGAAAACTGTTTGGTTATCCTGCCTTGAAGATGAGAGGGCTCAGGCAAATGCAGGGCCACGTGTCACCCTTCTGGGCCTAGAGATCCGTAAACGACTGCTATGCCAGGATCGGCAAACCATGGCCTTCGCAGTCTGGTATACGCTGGCAGTTATCCAAAGCCTGGTTTCCTACCGATAGATGCACTTGCGCTCCCGCATTGTATACAGGTCGTGAGCATGACTGCCCGGTCAGCCTCTTCTTTTGACCTGTCGTGTTGTTGTTGTTGTTGTTGATGATGATGATGATGATGATGATGATGATGATGATGATGATGATGATGATGATGATGATGATGATGATGATGATGATGATGATGATGATGATGATGATGATGATGATGATGATGATGATGATGATGATGATGATGATGATGGTGGTGGTGGTGGTGGTGGTGGTGGTGGTGGTGGTGGTGGTGGTTAAAATCCAGGCCAAGTGCTGTGTGGACCGGTGGGTGTGGAGTGGTGTGCCAAGGTGCGGACTCGGCCGCGCAGCCCACCTGCGCCCTCTCCCCCCTCCGATCTTCTTGACTACGTCTTGACGCCGGGGTAAGGTGAGGTGGAGGAGAGAGTGCGGTAGATGCAGCGCAAGCCTGCATTCACTATAAACCAATTCACGAGCAAGTCACCGTGCCTGCTTGACCTTGAGTTGGAGCGCACGGTGGACATCGTCGGATGCAACGGTGCCACCGTAAATGCTACCCGATTACTAGTACCTCGGCTGGTTGGTCTGACCTGGGAACCGCCCGCAGCCAACATTTCAATCGTTTGTCGGACGCTTTGTAGGATCGCATAGGCGCGATTTCTTAACTGGCGTAATAGGTGTAAAGTGCCTTCCGCGGCATGACAGGCACTAGGGTGAAATTCCAACAGGGAGGCGGAGAGTCTTCTTAGGCGCGCTCAAGACACCCAGACTAGCACAAGGAATTAACTGGCTGATGCAACACCCAGGGCTCGGACGGGCGGCGGTGGAGGTGAGCAAATGGGACAACACAAAATACGTGCTGTTGGAGGAAAAAAAAGCAGAGATGCGCCAACGAGCGGCGCTGCTGGTTTTCTTCCCCACCACCGACCTCCCCCCTCCCCTCCCCCGTGGAAGCGACCGCAAGCAAGCGCGCACGAGGCTACCGGTGGGTCAACAAACTAACTTGGCAGTCGCTTCAGAGTCGACAAAAATAGCACACGTCGGCCAAAATTCACCAGCACACTGGCTGGCCGGCTGGCTGGCGCGTTTTAAGGACAGCAAAAGAAGAGGTGGGAAAGGAGCAGCAGGAGGAGGAGCGTATAGCAGGACTGTTGTAAAACTCGACTCGTGATATAAGTATAACAGAATGATATTACCGACAAAGACAAGGGAGACTGGAATGGCCATTTCTGGCTTATTAGCCGTCGTCACCGAACGATCGGTGAGAGCCCCCCCCCCCCCACCATTGTATATTCCCGATCGGAAACCGACAGGGCAACGGGCTCGTGGCTCAGTGGTTAGAGGCGTGGACTTCTAACAAACAGGTCGCGAGTTCGAGCCTCGGCACGTGCGTATCTCTGTCATAGTCAATTAAGGCAGTCCGTCAGCGCGTTTTGAAGCACTCACAACCTCGACACAGCAGAACGTCAAACAAAGAAAGTCGACAGCGGAGTGATGGTTGGCTGCGGGTCTTCCTCAGAATTCCCCAAAAGTCCCCGCCCCACCTGGCTAATTGCCCGGTAAAGATTAATTGGTGCCCATGATTCCTAGAATAAAATTCGTCTTGCACCCTTCGCGTTCTTTAAATGGCCTCTGCACTTCCTTTTCCCTTCCAAAAAGAAAACAGTGATAAAACTAGAGCTGTTTCCAACCGGCAGTCGGCGTAGTCCGACAGTACGATTTCAGCGAAAGGGTCAAGTTTAAGACCCATCTTTGATCCTGTTCATGGCCACAGTTGCCGTGAACGATTTGGAATAAGTCCAATCCCTGGTCGCTATGACCTGAACACGAGTCCGATTAGCTGTTGAAGTTCGCTTAGTTGGGGACGGTCAAAAGGCCAGAAATGACAATTGAATCTGACAGTTCGAGGGCGACAGTGTGTCCTGCAGAGTGGGCGTAGGAGGATGACTTGCCGCATCTACCGCAATACCTTCTCCCTCACCCCCTGGCTCCAACGGCATGGCAAGGTCAAGACGACCGACGGTGGGCTTAGAAGCACTGGCTGACAAAGCTAAACAGCCCGTCTACGCGCGCTACACACGACCTGGACCCCGCTGAATGTACCGAGTTTCTGTGGAAACGGCTCGGACCCACATCAAGCAGTGTGACTCACAGTCCTGAGAAGAACCGAGTTAGTCAATCGGTTGTCAGCCTTCCGAGCAACGTCGTGACAGGTTCATGTGCAACATATTTATTATTGGTGGGGAATGCGTTGGTGCGCCGTGAGGATGAATTCTTCAGAACCAGTCTCACTCGCTCTTCCCTCTCCCAAGCAGCAGTACACTGTTCGAGCTCGCCAACCCGCAGGCGTCGGGATTGGTCGCGGTGCGAAAGCTTACCTTTAGGCGCGTCACCATACCCCTCCCATGTACAGCAGACTCGGTGCATCCCCACTAACCGTGACCTGAGTCAACCTGACACCCGTTTTGGTTCAGATCATCTAAAGCGTGGCGCGTAGTGGGAGCCACTGCATCATTATCTACCTCTTTCGATGATAATTCTCGATCACTGAGTGTTTGCTGCTACGCTACCGCATGCATGGCCTTTGTCTTGGAGCTCGAAGGCCGCATTCAGCCCAGAAGTCGAGTCAGATCGATGAATGTAGCTAACACGTGACCTTGGATATTCGCGGTCGCAGCGGTCAAAACAAAAATCTACGGTTTGACTGGCGGAACGGCAGCCGCAAGGATCAAGTGAGTCCGATTTACAGGTTCGGGCTTTTTCGGCCGGATATGGCTGGAGGACGAAGAAAACTAAGTTATTAGAGATGTTTATTACAAGGGGCGCTCACCGATCGCGTTATGGGATTCACTCGCCCTGAAGCTCAATCACGAGCCTTACCAACAGCCGCCCGGTGGCAGAATGACGTTGCCGTGAAAGACCGAGGGGGGGGGGGGGG